CGCGTGCCCGCCCCGCGCGAGGCGGCGACCGTTGGGGCCGGGCGAGGGAAGTCGCGTCACTCGTGAACGTTAAACGTGCCCGTGATTTTGGTGTCTCTGCCCCTTTAGACTCTGCGCTGTCAATTCGGTTGCAAACCGCAACAGTCCTTTAGCTAAAAGTTCACGGTTCTGGGGAGATGGAGCGATGACACGTTTTTTAGGGCTGTACTGCTGTACTTCCATTTGCCTGAAGCGTCCAGCAGCATTGCCTGCGAACAGCGAAGCGAACAGTTACTTTTTAACTAACAAAGTTCCAAGTAATTCAGTTTTGTAATCGGATTGTTCGTACTCTGCGCGGTTTTCCAAGATGAGGTGTTTGTAAGTGCGTGCGTTCATTTTGCACAGGCCTGGTCCTTGTAATGGCCGTGCATCATGCGCTCAGCCATGCGTTAGAAGCCCACCTGAGAACTTGAAGAATACGTGTTGCCTTTGGTACGGGCAAGCAACACGCAGCGTACCTTAAATTGCACTGTGGATATCACAAATAAAATGGGGACGTGAGGTTTAGCATTCACTATTAGACAATGCTATTTTTTCCTCAAATAAACATCAGATACTGGCTTACAGTCACTAACATACCGAGTTTTACATGGATGTGTAAGAGGCAGATGTGGAAAACTTTACATACACTTCTATACAAATATACCATCCCTTCCTTTTAACTTGCCATGCAGGAACTCCAGGCAAGAACTGGACTTTCAGGGGAACAGAGTGAGATTGGTATTTATAGTCCTTGATTAATCCTTAACCCCTTTTAAGGAATAGCTTGCAGATGTGACTAGTTTCAGCTCCTGTTTGCTTTTAACCAGCTTGCAGAAGTCACGGCTGCAGCAGGAGAGCCGCACAACAATTAGGAGGAGAATACTTCCCGTGCAAGATGCATAAAGAGTCTTTACAGTGTAGATACACATACGTTGTCCTTTTTTGAGCTTACACAAAGGGCAACATTTGGAGTATCTGTGAAAGACAGCCTGCAAGGCGTTCCTATGGGGAGTCTGGGGCTATAAAAACTTTCCCTGGCTGTCTTCAGAGACCGTGTTCTGTGGTGGTCTCTTCAAAGCAGAAATAACTTAATAGGCTTTCAAAGGGCATCAAAGTCTCTTTGCTCCTTGAAAATCTAATTCTGGGAAAAGTAAGATAAGGGTTCACTTTCTAGTTCATAAAGCATCTGGATGTGTCAGGCAAAACTGCTTGTCTGCTATAGCTGAATTCAGTGTCTAGTGTGTTAGCAACCGTTGGATGACTTCCATTCTAATGAAGCTTTATGGCACCTCTCCTCTCCACAATGCCATCGGTACTTGTTTTATAAGTCAACATTGTGTAATAATGTCGTCTCACAAGCACTAATGACCTATGCCATGATCTGAACTCCGCTATGACAGACCAGATATATTTGTAGCTTCCTTAATTAATTTATTGATAGAATCCTTTTTTAAGTTCTCCAAAGGAGAGCTGTGACCTCGTTCACTAGTATATTTTCAGCTAAAACAAGGGCTGTGATACAATTAATGCAACAATTCCTGATCTTTATGGCTGTTGCCTCTCTGAGAGCAATCTATTCACTGTGTAAATGTTGCACTGAGAAAGCGTGTTGGGCAGATTCGCTCTGCAAGAGGTGGTATCTGTACTCAGACAAGTAGAGATGTTGAGGTCTGACGCAGTCTCCTAGCATTAGAGAAGATCCATGGTATGCCTCCATTGTCATTCATTCAGTTCAATCAACCAGGTGCTTAGCTGTATGTTCAGTTTGCCAGTTTTCATTATCTTCTTGCAAATTTCACAATGTTTAATTAATTTAAAATGCCCACTGCTGAGGCCAGATTGTTGTTTGAGAATCTCTCTCCTGTTCTTAAAGGAGAGCCTAAGTTTCTGTCCTTCACAAATGTAGGGAAGTGTGAAAACCTTAATCTTAACAGCACTAGCACGAAAGGTAGACAAAATGATTCAAGACCAGTATGATGAGAGCTGGGGGAGGTGGGGAAGGGAGAAATGGCAGGGGAGTTCAAGATGTCTGCAGAAAACTTGAGTGCTTGCAGTTGGCAGCACTATTAATGTGAAGCTGACAGCTCAAAATCAATAGTTTTGACACTGAACACAGTTTTTGACACTGAACACAGATCTGCTTTCTGCATTTCACACTCTTAGGTGAAACTTACTTCAGAACAACACAGCTTGCCATTCAGATTCCTAAGTGTTCATGCTGCAGAGCACCTGGCTGAAATAAACAGGAACTGACTTTCAGGACAAGGAGAGGAGAATCAATATTCTGCTAGCAAGCAGTGGAGGATGGTTTTGATTTTTTGATTTCTTTCTTTTTCCTCTACAGTGATTATTGTTCTTGCAGGGTCTTTTACAGACATCACAACATTTTCACTAATACTGCTTTAGTAATATGTACACAATAACTCTATCTTACATACAGTGCATGCTGTTTATAAGACAAGACCTTGTAATGCATGTCTGTTCGTTTCATCCCAAGGGAAATACATGTGCACCTTGTTTTGTATTTGAATTTGTTTTTAAGCAAACCTGTGTGGGACTCTTGGTGCGGCCTCAAACTGCACTCTTATGTCAGATTTTGTGCTATCTATCTGAACAAAGTTAGCATTAAGTTTTCAACTTTCGGTGGGGATTCAGAAGCTTTTAAATTAGAACTGCTGTGTATTTTTCAGCAAGGCTGGCTTTGAAGAAGTATAATACTTTCAATTCATTACCTGAAGTAAAAAGCTGGTAATTAAGAAAGCCTTCCAGCTGTGAGATTTAATCCTTTGTTTGCCAGTTGAAGCAATGTTGTTGGGTGGGAGCAGGGTGACCTCCAGTGGCTGGTTTCTGCCTGGCTGTGGGAAGGACAAGGCTGGTGAGCATCACAGGGACACCCCAGCTAGGAGGGCACTCAGGGGTCTCCTGTCCAGCCTTCTGCCTAAAGAAAGGTCACACTGAATTCATACTGTCACGCTCAGGGGTTTGCCCAGTCTTGAAAACCAGGGCAATCTGTCCTACTCCTTATTTACCCTCATAGTGAAAATTATTTTCCTTATATAAAACCTGTTATTTCAATTTATGTTCATTGTCTCTTGTCCTGCACTGTGCACCTCGACAAAGAGCTTTGCTCTGTCTTCTCAATAAACTCATAAATACAGGGGGCTGCTGTTGGATCCTCCCAAAGCTGTTTCTTTCCCAGGCTGAGCAAACCCAGCTACCACAGCTTCTCCTCACAGGGTTGGTGGCCCTTGACCATCTTGGTGGCTGTTTGCAGAATACACTGAGGTTACACAGCAGTAGGCCAGGTTTATGATTTGGCTTGTTGGTACTAATAAGGATGACTGAGTTTATGAAGGATTCACACATGTTTATTTAATTCTCACTTATAGTGGCACTAACATTTTACGCTGGAGTTTTTTCCTAATTACATATACTGCTGTAAGCATCTTGTTATCTATTCTACTAACAGTAAACATGAACATGCCTCAGGGTTTATGAAGGATGATGAGTTCACTAAGGGCTTTGCTGCAATGTGTTTTTTTCCACGGAAAATGTGTTTTTGCAACCACAACTTTGTAATGCCAGCACACCTTGAAAACGCGAGTGCTGCATGTTCCTGAAGGACAGCTGGGCTGGCCTGCGGCAAGGAGACAGTGCTGAGTTGCCTCTACCCGCAACAGGATGGTGTCACCAGTGTGTTGGCCAACTCCGTGCAACAAACTGCAGTGGCAAAAAAAACCAGCAAGCAGCAAAAGTAATAAGAGCCCAAATCCCTTCCACAGATGAGGTGCAAGATGAAGGCTTTGGAGGAGGGAAAACAACATCCTCAGCTGCCTCACCATGGTGCTGCAGTATAGGGCTAATGAAAGGCTAACTGCAGCCCTGGCTGGGGTCAGGGGGTGATGAGCAACAGCTGCTGTAAAAATCACTACCTTGGCAGGGTGAGGGGGGAAGGCAGAGACTAAGGAGGCAGACTGAGAGAAGAGACCAGCCTGGCAGACAAGAGAGTAGGAGAGGATGAGAAGTGTTAATTCTGTTTCCTGGAATGCAATAGCCTGTGCTCTGTTATTTCTCCTCACCCACAGTACTTGAGCTGTCTGTTGCAAGAAGAAAATGCTTTTCTGATGTGAATTTGAACCTTCTGCCACCTTGAGAGTTAGGATCCAATGTTACAAACAGAATGGGAAGGATGGTTGTGCTAGGCTTTGGTACAAAAGGAGA